TATTATTCGTAGCAGTTATTCAATTTTTCAATGAGAAAGTTTATGTTGCAATATTATGAAGGAAGAAGCATGAACGATTAATAGCCCATGCACTTCATCTAATAGCGATAAAAGTTTATCCAACGAAGCATTAGTTTTTATTAAACCGCTGAGAAAGCGTACTTTTTATCCCTTCATCGTGAATATCCTTTTACAAACTAAAAAAGTAGAGGGATGTAACGAAACTTCCTCTCATCGCTATGGAAATGAACGGAAAGTAGACGAGTGAATAAAAAATTTCGTGACTCACAGCACACCAGTCGGTTTAGTATTATATATACTCATCTCTATTCCCACCTTCTTTTTCTGTTCTTCTGCTCTTTCACTCTTTCTCTCCCTCACGATTCTCTGACTCTTTTCTCCACGCAGTCCACACATACGCGGTGTAGTAAAGAGTAAAGCTGTTCTTCACAAAGCTTACTGGATCGAGTCCTTTCTCACGTCATTGCCAACCCTTCAAACGATCTACATTTAAATAATTACAATCCCGATGTCGTTTAACCAGTGATAATTTATAGGCGCGATTCAACCCGCTCAACGATGTAGATACGACCCCCGTCTGCAGACTACCGTAACAAATTTCAATAGCTATATCCCACACACTTGCGTAAAAAGATTGCAATTTGTCTGCTAGCTTGTCTCTCTCTCTCATCGCTTTTACTTTCATCTGACTGAATCCGCAGATATACCATTGGTCATGCAAGCCTAATGTCATTGCTCATTTAAGCCCCATGTGCACTATACACTTTTTCTCCGCCTCTTTATGACTTGTCTTTATCCTACAGACCCTACTTGTTAGCGTGGTGTAGGTTATGATACATATATGTACCTTGTATACTTGTGTACTGTATTGAACTACCCTTGTCGTTATCCTTCCTATATGATATATCACTCTACTCAGCCTTTGTTCCACCCGGTAATTTCTCTAGACTTGGTATTTTTTGTTTAATGCTACCTCGTATCACCGAACCCCAAGCGCACTGTACTTCATTTTTTATGTCATTTCTTTATACAGAAAATATCTAGCAATCATTCAATTTATCCTACTTATTTTTCATATTTTTTTTTATGAGACATCGTTATTAATATGTTCCTCTAAACATTATATCAATATTTTCTATTTAGTTGAAAGAAAAAAAAAATCATCTTTGGATGTAAAAAAAATTCCTGCATAGGAATTTGTTAGCTAATGAATTTAATTTTGATCATAATTTATTATATACGCTAGGATGTTTTGAAAGAAAAAAAAAAAGGAAAATATCTAAAAATGAAAATAGATTTTTCTCAGGTCAAGGAATTTTCTAACAAAAACCCTTCATAATCATTGAATAAAATTAAAGAGTAAAATTTAATATAAGAAAGTGTTTTACACAATTTTACCAGAATAAATATCCATACAATCAAAAGAGCGTTTTAGAGAATGAATTCAATTAAGATAATTAAAGATAACATTTAATCGCAAGTCCACACGACTCTTACATACACAATACACCTTGGTTGAACTAACTATACTTATATTCGTTCATGGCCAGGGATTGCAATTTCGGATTAACGGAGCGCAAGCATACGGTGAAAGTAAATATTCTGGAAAGTTCGTTCGCGGTGGGGTATGTGTTACGATAGGGGAGCCGGCTTGCACGTACGAGGGAGTGTATAACATTGCACGTACGCGCCCTCACGTATAGTTGCGGTCGTTCTCTCAGGGCGTATGTACCAAAAGCTTCGTTTTTATAACATACGACCAACCGCTAAAGTCTATATGAACATTTCTCTGCATTAAAAAAAATCCTGATCCACTGGCGATTCTGCATCTCTACATCAAGCTACAGGGTACAGTTGATCGACGGGAAAAGTTTTTCGTCCAGTGCGACACTGGAATAATTTATCGAGATTGGATTTGCGTACAACAATCGATGCTAATCCTCGTGTAGAAACTTACCAGCTGTATTTTTTCAATACAATACCAGCAAAGCAAAGCACTCAAGTGCGGGCTTTATATAAAATAGTTGACACTATTTTATTTTATTCTCTGATCCTTCGAAAAGGTCCATCAGGTTATTCAATGTTCAAAAAAGAGAAAGTGGACAGTAGTCTAGGTGGTATTGGAATGTTTAATTCTTGTGAGACCACCCTAGAATATTGGTGTGACTGCAAGTTTATTCTTGGTGGTTAAATCGTGGTGTGGCAAGTAGACACGAGACTGGCAGCAATTCCCCAAAGGGACCAACGCGAAATAATCTACCAAACACTTTTACATATTGCTCGCTCCCTCTGAGTTATTTGCATAACACCCCTAGCGCGCGACTACGTTCTGTTTGTTCTGTCTCGACAAACAAAACTGACTTTCAACTGGGCTTTGGTTATGACAATAAAATCTAAATGCAATTTGTTCAACACAGTAGTGCGAAATTTGAAGCAAAATGAATACAGAGAATTGTAAAGCATAAATTAAATCATTCCAGTTACGGAATTTCTTTTTAAATTTCTAATTACGGAATTACAAGTGTTTTTTTTATTTATAATAGACTGCAGTTTGATTTATTTCTAAAAATAACAAAGGTAGTTTTAAGAGATAAATGTGGAGACAGTAGAAATAAAGAATGAGTATATGATAGTTAATGAAATTGGACAAGTGTAAAAGTACACAGTTGGAATGAATCGAATGTCCATTTCGTACGTAAAAAATAAAATCCAAGTTTACGAGACACAAGAAGCGTCTTGACAAGCTTTCTAGCTAGTCCTACTTGGATCCTGGTGATATCCCGAGAGAACTATCCTCGTTTTCTAGCATCTCTTCTTTTTCGTTTCTACCTGCGTCTTCCCAAAGGACTCAGTGTCTCGGAATTCAGGAAAAACGGTAACTGGCGTGTCGAGAAGCTCAAAATATTGACTGGCTTGGTGGATCTGTCTAACGTCCCGTGCACAGACGTTTGGCATAAACCTTTTTTTTGTCTCTCTCACCTTTTTTTTTGTTTTATCCACACTCATCTCTCTTCTTCTCCATCGGGAATATGAACGTGACGTTCGTTCAAATGACGAAAAGTTGAATGAGGAAGAGAAATAAGTGAGTTTGGAAGTAAGAAAGAAAAAGAAAATAAAAAGTCAGGTAATAAGTCACCTTTTAAAAGACTGGAACAACTTCCACGCCCTTATTAACTTCTATACGCATAGTTTTCTTAAAATTACACCTTGGGAGTTGAAATTATTAATAGTTATAATTTTCCAAAACTGTGAAAATGCTGATGCATCAACTTTAATTTGGTGGTGCTTGTTTTGAAAGCGAATGAGAATGAGAAATGAAGGGTCGCATCCCCTAATGCTTTTAAGGGTGTTGCGGTCATTGACGATGATGAAAACAACCACGAAGAAACTTAGCAACCTGTATATTCCTCATGCAAATTACTTCGACAACTAATAGGATAGTTTATTCCGAAATTATTGTTATTATACACTTTGAATAGTAGGTAGTAAAACTTTTGTCAAAATAATAATCATTTAACTAATTCAATATAATTCATTATCATTAAAGTTGGATGAATGTTTAAATTTAAATAGAAATAAAAGTTTTTCAAGGATAAAATGTCGAATAAAAATGTCTAAAAAATAAGAGGCAATAAAGCTTCTTCAAGAATAAATGAATTATGGATTTCCCGTTTCTTGTCGACGTTATAGAAAGTGAGAAGATAAACTTACTTTATAATGTATTTTTGCAAAGAAAAATGGAAGCAGTCTCTCTTGTGAGCATTATTTCAAAGAAGGCGATAGAAATTAAAAAAAAAGAAAACAAGATAAAAATATTACTCAGATGATAAAGATATGTTGAGGGAAAAAAAGAAGAAAAATTTCCGGCTCTACGAATTTGTTACCACGACTTCTACTTGCATTTTTAGTGCCTTTTATGGTCTTTTCCTCTTGCCTTAAATCCTCGTTGTTTTTCTAAGAGAAATCGAAGTGCTGCTGTTTGCCTAGTAAGTCCGAAAAACGCGTGGTGAGAAAAGCTTTCAAGGATTTCAGATCGTCAGTTGAATTTGCTTAGGGGAGAATGAATCAACGAGGGTTATACGAAATCTACGATCGATCGACAAGATAAGATGTAGAAGTGTGTGACAATTTATGCATAGCAACTTAAACATGTGCTGATTTTAATAAAAAAAAATTTTTTTCTCCACAAATGAAGTACAATTTCGCACAGATGAAATGAGTTTTGTCAATTTACCGTGTTAAATTGGCTAAAAATATCTTTAAATTATATTTAATGTCTAAATGTGGCTGACCAAACGACTTCTATGCTTTTGCACAGAGCTGCAAAAGCCTTCATCTGCTGGTCTATTTTTTATTGTAGTATTGCTGCCAAGGGGCGTCTTGGTCCAGCAAGCACCACATTTACTCCACAAACGAGCTTGATAGCTCATACACGTGTTTCTCTTCCTTTGTTGCTATTCGAAAAGTCCGTATAAAAGCAAAGTTTTCGTTTTTACTTACTCAGCGGCTTCTTATTACGGTCGATGCCTTCTCGTTCTGTAGCTCCCACATGAACTTCAGCAATCTTTGAAGTGGAAAATTATTGGCAAGGGTCGCCCTCCTCGTTATGTAATGCCACATATGAAAGCTCGTTCCGGTTCCAAACGTTGTTACTCTTACTCATATATATATATATGATCAACAATATACTGGAAAAAATTATTTTCTAGATCCTAATAGAAACATTGAAAAACTTGACTTTTTTAGTACATTTTTTAAATCCTAAAAGCATGTGAATAAATATTTTATCCGGTTTGAATTAATTTTAGATTTTTTTTAAGTAGAAAAAAATATTTTCAAAGTGAAATATAAATTTATTTAGAATGTAGAAATTAATTAAATCCATTAAAAAGAATTTCAACATTTTATAATAAATAAGTAATTTTGGACTGAAATATTGTGACATTTTTTTAGTTGGAAAAAAATAATTTTCCCCTCAATATAACAGACATGTATTGATGTGACAAAAGCCAGTGCACTCATATTGATACACAATTTTTTTGTTTAAAGTTCAGCTCACTTTGATATTATATATTGGTCCATGCATATCCCTTTACTTTGCATATAACAGTGGATCAATGCCAAATTTTCCACTGATATGCCTTCAGGAGTGCGAAAAAAAATTTAATAATCGCGAATTGCACATTTGAAATTAAAACGAACGTATAGTGACAATTCAACGTATGGCACATTTAATTGACGGTAAAATTTCATATTCGTCGTCAGAGGATTACAAAAATAAAGCTTTATACTACGAATCCAACTACTATTATATCAACCATAGAGCATACACGGTGACTCTTATAAATAATTACTTGAGTTACTTTTTCTAACTGCACGCAAGCAAACTCGATTGGGATTAATAAATCATGTTAACGAGCTTTTGATTACCCGCAGCGTTTTTATACGGTGCAACACAAAATTGTCACTAGTTACCAGTAAGCCGGTTTCACAGGATTTGAAACTACCTGAAAATGTCAGTGGGGATCCATGCAATGGTAATGGACTATACACGACAGTGGAATATAATAAAAAATGTCTGCAAAACATGCATATTATGTATAATAAGGGTTTCACAAAAAATGTTATGCTCTTTACCTATATGAGTATAATTTAAATTAATTTTAATCAACAAAAAATATAATCATCTGACCGATTATCTCATTATTCCTATCGGTATATTTTACTCTGACTCTTTCACTCTGAAACAAAAAATAATTCATTGAATTAATTACAAAATTTTAGTCTAATTTTTGTGCAATAAAAAAAATTGTTTCATTTAATAAAATAACAGATAAAATATTAAATGCTGTTATTTATCAATGACTAATGAGTTTGTAAAGCGCCTTTTTTTCTTTTTATAAATTAACTATGAAAATCAATACAACACGGTCAATCGTAAAATAATTTATGTGCATTTACTACAGATAATGCAGCTACAGATTTTTTTTTTCCAGAAATGAAAGAGTAAAAGAAAATTGTTCTAAATCGTCGTATTTTTCTTATCACCCTATTCATCTATACCTTGCGATTTAACTTCACATAAAACTACACAAGTTATAGACTTATTGGGATATATACTTCATGAATTGTTACTCTTTTTTTTGATATTGACAGTTAACAATAACGGCAAGTTAAAGGTATATAAATTCGAATTACCGATCAAAAACTTTTCTATAAAGATGCTTTGTCCTAAATTGCTTCGTTCGTTGGTGTGTTGGCGACGATCGAATTATAAAGTTGAACGTTTTCGAACTTGGTACTTTATACTTGGCGTTAGCAGTGCAACTATAGTAAGAAAGCATTACGTGAGATTTAGAAGTTGAAGCTGGTTGTAGAACAGAGTATCGACGGTGCTACGATGAAAGACGAATTGCACTAGCTGTCGACTCACTGATATCTACACCTCTGAGACTTACAGTTACACCTCCTGTGGGTTTGTTATATGTACCTTAAAAGTAACTATATAAGAGTTTCGCCAATCATCCTAAGTACTTCCACGCGCGAGCGATCGGATGAGATTTTGTACGGAAGAAAAGTGAGCAAACGAGCAAATAAAATAAAAGTTTCCTTGAACTTCCGAGAACCAGAGTGTGACGAGAATATTGAGAGTGTCGACTCGGCATAGAACCAGAGAGAACTTTTGGTGCAGCCCAAGAAGAAACTAAACTATAAGAACAGGTTTTTTAAGATATGATCCTAAAGTATCCAAACACAAAGTATGTTGCCATAATTTTCCTTTTTTACAACCTTTACCTATCAACTAATGTCCAAATGTACTTTTCATATTTGAAATTCCATACGCTTAAATAATCATCAATAATCACCGAATCCTCTTTACTTTCTCTTTCAGTTTATCAGTGAGATGTTATAAGAATGAGGGAGATTATGACCTTCCTTATGATCGGACGTAGGTAGACAAGCTGGTGATTCTATAAAATCAACACTACTCTTCATTGCCTGGAACCCAGTTTCTAAGAGAAGAGTGCGTTTGCTCGTTAAGCCAATGTTTATGCGACAGCTTTGACTAGTTCAATAATCTACAGTCTAAGCCATAATTGACTGGGCTTTCAGCACTTGTAATAATAAGTGATTCAATCATCGACAGCACTTTAACCAATCCATAGAAATATTAAATTTTCACAACCAAGTAAACACCTTTCAACTATCCCGACAAAAGCTAAATATTTAATTTTTTATCGATCAAATGAGATATTTATATGTTAACTTTTTGTGGTTCCTATTAATATTAAACATTCATGAGCATTACGTTATCTCTATAAAATTTTTGTCAACGTCATTTGAAGTGAATCAATGATCCAAGAAAAATATAAAAAAGGGAGATTATACAAATGTAAGTTGAATCATAAGCTAATTTATGAGATAAAAATTAAAAGAGAAGAAAGGAATCTCTATACTCATCAGATTCCATAGAATTCTTTGGGGATTCTTCTGTGGCTTACCTTGAGCATTTGAAGATTTCTTCAACTCTACTCGACTGAACCGTCTTTAAACATCAAGAGGCACCAGCCAACACTGCTTCCAACATAATGCCCAACTGACCTGGCTTGTACGGTCCATCGTTATTAAACCTAAATCATTTTGCGTCAGCCCTCGCTTTGCCATAACTCACTGAATTCGTAAAATATTGCTTCAGTTCAAATTGTGGCCCACAGCCCAAAACATACTACTTTTTTCCTGAGGCCAAGAGAATCCCTTATTCCTGTGTCATCCACATCACTTTTCTTCTTCATCATCTTCTTTGGTCTCTTTCATCTATTTTTTGCTCTTCCTACGCAAGCCTTTGCTCAGTAAATTCAGATGATTTCGTAAATAGCGTTGATTTATGGCAAAAATCTTATGTTTTTGTTCCACTAGCTCACAGTCGTGGGCTTTGACAGATTCTCCAAGATGAAATTCTCTCCCTGGAACTTTAAATATGTGTACTTTGCTCGCTTGAGTTTGATGTAAGTTTCAAGAGTGTTTGAAATGTGTTAGCAAAGATATTAATTTCAAAAATTTACCGATCTTGACTCAAGTTAAGAATACTAGATCTCTTGGATTATTCAACGGATGACAACTTGCCACATATTCCAATGGATTTCTTAAAATGTTTCTTGCTGTGAGCTAAAATTCCACCACTGAAAGAAAACATTGGAAAAAATTAATTATAGATGCAGTAATCCTATCAAAAAAAAACCTTCGAATAGTTATTAATTTTTTCAATTCAATAGATTAGAATTTAATCTCATTATAAATTAGGAGATAATAATGAAAAAAATAGATTTGGAAAAAAATATCTAAATATTTTTAAAATAAAACGATGTGTGAGAGTGAAAAATAAGCATATGCGTCATCGGATTTTTATCCCAATTTGTAATGCTAAGGTATGGATGACTTTACTTATGTGTAGTTCAACAATGTGGTCTGTGCTGACTGTAAATCTTTTTTGTAGATGACCTTGGAGGTCGTAAAGTCGAGGGTTGTAACGTAAAATGTAAATTCAATCCTAAGAATGCCTTAACACTTAATCGAAAATTCTGCATAGCTGTCATCTTCAAAAGAAGCTTCAAAATATATGCTATCCGAACACAATTCCCTACGAGAGTGAGTTCAGATTATAGATGTCAGTAGGTCAAGTTAATACACAGTGCATATAGACAGGTTTCAAACTGTATAAAGCGAAGAATTGAGTTCACTGATGCGAGAAACGAAAGTAAAAAGCAGTAAAATATAAACTGATAAATGATCGTTAATTCTTATTCACTTAAGACTTAATAAAAGCTCTATAGAGTAACCTGACATACTGATTGAAAATTTTTTTCTATTCAACATATCAAGGATTTAAATTGTTATAAGTTTATTTATAAAAATATTCTGACATTAAAAATTATTCAAGGAATTTTAATGAAAAAAAAATTTTCGTAATTTCACCAAATAAGAATGGATGAGATAAAATTATGTGGTAAAAAAATTTGGGTTAAAATAATAACTGAAATGACATTACTAAAGAAATAGAAAGTTAAGCTCAGCAAATAATTGATTGTTTACTTTAAATTAAATATGTGAATTAAATTATTATATATTTTTATGCTCACAATATTACATAAATATTTGTAAAGTTTTTATTTATTTATCAATGACGAAAGACTTCCACATAATACTAAGTAAACATTAAGTTAAATAATTTACTTTCATTTTAAATCCCTTGAATTAATTTTTGTAATGCATTCTGACGATAAATTTTCCAAAACGAATTAATAACCAAAATATTCGTTGCATATTATTACAATTAATCAATTAAACGGACAAGCAATAAGGGCTTGAAATGGAATAATCTGATTCAGTGTATAAAGCGTGACTGTAAGGGGAGAAAAGATTAGTCAACCACTACATTTTATCTTCCTGTTCTGACCCTTTTACATGTTGTCCAATGGACAGGAGGACTAATCGTTGAATACATATATCCTAACTTGACATCGATCTTAAAAAATACATATGTAGTTGCATTTATCAGTACAGAAAAGAACATACGCTGTTGTAAATAGCATTGACACGAGATTCGTATGAGAATAAGCGGAATATTGAAGGAAAAGATTGAACCTGTCATTTAAATTTTGTATTTTTTGACATGTCTACTATACATGTTGTATGTATACAGAAAAAAGTCAATTTAAAAAAGCTTTTTTGAACAGTTAAATTCCAGTTGATAAGAAATCTAAAAAATTATACAAAAACAATACTAGTAGAATTAATAATAAAATATTTAAATTTATATTTATATAAAATGTTGAATGAAGAGATCTGTATGTAAAGTAAACCTTAAAAATGATGTTTTTTTTAATGAAGGAGAATATAGTTCGACAAAATCCATAGTGCATATCAAAATAATAAAGTACAGAATACATTGTAGGTCGCTTCAATATTCGGTTACGATGAAGAATAATGAAAGTCCTTTGTGTATTGGGTCTTTTATGCATCAGTGTAACCTATGAGCAGCACAGCAATGACACGTTAAAGGAATTATTATATACGTTGAACCCTTTGATAAAAATATCCAATCTCATCTTACAAAATGTGACCTATAGAGCAGTGTTATGTTTGTAACACCTTCATATACCATGGTAAACTCATGTCCTCTTATATAGATGAGGGCATAATACATACATATAAATGCGCAAAGAATGTATATGCTTGTGTGACCTGAGCATCAATGTGTCCCATCTCCGTTTGTCGGATAAAATGGTGGTAATATTTGCGCGCTTCTGACAGCAGAACAATGTCTGACCCGACTCGTCCCACGATATTCAATCCCCTTTTCCATGATCCACAACCCACCCTCCGACATATCAACCCCCTGCATACCACGTATACTCTTGACGTTACCATCGTGCCATCAAAGAAAGTCTGCATCCCCAAAATATTCACTGTTACAGTTCAGAATTGGGAATCAATCGTAACCTGTTTTTCAATTCTCCCCTTTAACATATGGAGTCACGTGCGGCTTTCCCGATAGCCATTTTATTTTTGTTCATTTCTTCATTGTAATTATTCATTTATTTAATCAGTCAATATAGAATTTCGGCTATCTATAGTTGTTGACATTTATCCAATAATATTTATAGATAAATAACATTATTTTCATATAATTAATTGATGAAATATAACAGAATAAAATTAGGTAAACTAATGTAATCAGAATTTGTCAAATCGATGCTAGATTTATTCCTCTATTAAAATAATATTTATGCAGATAGGGAAATGATGGTATGGAAGAGATGTGTCAGAAACTGCGACGATTTTGCATTATCGTAAATTAGTTGCAAGTGGAACGTGCGAAATCTCTTTAGGATCTTGAACGTGGTAAATCCTCGGTGACTATTGTCGGAGAAAGCGATATGGTAGTTATCGATCTTACATCTATTTGCTTGCCGCAGAGAACTTTAAACTTATCTCTCCTGACACTAATTTCGAGTCGAAATTCAGTACGACACTCTCTTACTTTCTTACCTTTACTCATGTGGCTTCTCGATATACCTCAAAGAAAATTTATTGAACACCAAAACTTATGGAGAAAGTCTAAGTAGTTTCCAGCTTCTGTGAGGCCACAAATGGTGGTCGTATCTATCAGCCAACTCCAGAGAACAAACACCAAATCTGCAGGTTTTACGGCTTTTCGAAACTAAATTGTAAAAAGAATGATGTATTGACCGGACAAACAGCGCGACGTGCAACATACAGAGGATAAACGCTGAAGCCTCAGTGGTGCCATAGACCTCCCATGGCTACAGAGTCGAGGCCAGAGGAAAATGTCCCTTTGGGTCCTCGCGTAAGTTGTGACTAAAACGTCCTCCCACCGGGAAACCTTCCTGTCATTGGATTCATTGTTTGGTCTTTTAGGAAATGTCTCTCTAACAACTGCTACTGTTTTCTGTATATTTTCTGCCTTTTATAAACTTGTTTGTCCATCTATTGGCAAATGTTCTCGCATTTCACACATTTCATACCCTTTAAATTCCCATATAATATGCAATAAGATTGCGGAACAAATGACTTTATTTGAAATTCATTCACGACAACAATAAAATATCTATGATCCTGTTAACAACACTTTTCATCCTTATTATCTGATTCATTTAAACCTGTAAAATTGTCATTTATATTCTTCGTAACAATTAAAACGTTTTTATCATCTTTATTCTTTTACACTCCCACGAAATATTTCCCGAACCCGTATCACCTGAATTGTTGAGAAACCGCTAAGTAAATGCAATAAAGAAGTAGAACGAGAAGATTTTTTGAAAATTTTATGACCCACCCTCTTGCAGCCTTGTGTGTCTCCACAGATACCATCTTTAGTTACACCTTAGCATATCTTAATATATTTTAGAGGCATACGTGCGGTTAATGTCTTTGTTATAAACTGCTGTTTGTATCATGTACATATATACTCAAGGTTCACTTATATTGTGAATATAAAATATAAGATATTATTTTAACGTTCAATTGAAAGTCTACACATATTCTTTTCTTTTTATTTTTCAATATCTATGGTTGAGGTCATTCAATCTTGGTGGGCTGAATTTATTGATGAAATGAAATAGTTGGACGTTGTACGACAAACGATATTTTCCTATCAGCCGCTGATCTGTCCTTTATTCTACACTCTGTTGTGAGAATTATACTGAAAGTTGGATTTTTGTGTGACTAGAATAGTTTATCGTCTAATTCTGGGCTTTATCTTTCCTAATCATCTATTTATATGCATTTTTCATTTCTGTGGGTGTTTTGACGTCTTTTTCTCTAATTTTTCAAACTGATATATTACTTTTTTATGCTAAACATTAGTTAAAAAATTAGAAAATTAAAATAGACCTCGTGTGTACAAGCACTTACTTTTTGATTAGATATATTGATTAAATAATTATGTCAGCTTTGAAACGATGGCTTTGCTTTCAGAAATACGTATTAAATAGAAAAAAAAAACTCAGAATATGTATCTACACATCTCTCGCTATAACGTGGATAATACTCGTATCTTCCGGGCATGTCAGTGTTCAATATCATAAATGGGACATTCCACAACACGAACTTGATAAACCTTCAGGATATGAACCAACGACTTGTATCTACAATACAAGTATTTTGAATGTTTAAACGCTCCAAGGTCTGATTATGAATCTATGTGTTATTTCTTGCATTGCATTATTTGATTAGTATATAAATTTGGTACACATTATTTCCAATACACATATCTCGATTTATTACACAAATTGCATCTCCATCACGAATAGAAACTAATATTATTTTGTTACTATTTCCTTTGGCAATGGTTTAATTGAATCATTTTACTATACGTGAACAGAATTATTTGTTGAATAATTCATTTTAAATCAATACTTCAATGACAGCCTTCGATTTTCATTACTTAAATGAAAAAATTGATCGAGTCCAGAATAAAAATTTCATCTCTGGAAAAAATAATTTGATTAATTATCTGTGCAAATAAAATAATAAGATTAATTAATTTCAAGTGAAAAATCGATATGAGGTGATTTTTTAAACGCATAAATTACTTTTATTGTTGGCATTAAAATTTTCGAATAACTGTTATCGCTATCGGCAATTCTATAGAAAGAGT